ACACCTACAACTCCCTGGGCTACTTCCCCATGGCCTCCTCCCAACACCTTCTTTGCCCTCACCACCAGACCTTCCTCCTGATGTCTGATAACGCTTGTACTTCTGAGTCCTCTAGCAGTACACCTACTCACTTTCAGCTTCTTGCACACCTCTTGCTCCCAGTTCCTCACACACACTTCCTCTCCTCTGGCTCCCCCTGGCTTGACTGGAGTGAGCCCTTTTATAGCATCAGAGGGGCCTTAATTAGTCAGGTGCTTAACTGCCTCACCTGACTTTTAGCAGGTTAATTGGAGTCAGGTGGTCTATTAGCCTGGAGCAGCCCCTGCTCTGGTCACTCAGGGAACAGAAAACTACTTATCCAGTGGCCAGTATATCTCTCTTCTGCTACTCTGCTGTTCCCAACTGGTCTGGGTCTATCACACTTCCTAAGTGTGATACTTTGCATTTGTCCTTATTGAATTTCATCCTATGTAATTCAGACCATTTTTCCAGTTTGTCAAGATCATTGTGAATTCTAATCCTGTCCTCTAGAGTGCTTGCAACCCCTTCCTAGCTTGGTATCGCCCACAAAATTTATAAGCGTGCTTTCTTTTGTAGGCATCCTTTCGTCTGCGAGAGACGGTGGGAATTGCAGCCTACGATGCAGATGGTTTGCAATGTCTCATGTTACTAAATAGTCTAATCCAAGATTTGCATGATCTTTAGTGTACTCTCTATGCCGTTATCTAAATCATTTATAAAGATATTGAATAGGACTAGACCCAGGACACATTCTTGCAGGACCCCACACAATATACTCTTCCAGGTTGATTGTGAACCACAGATAACAACTCTCTGAGTACTGTTTTCCAGCCAGTTGTGCACCCACTTTGTAACAGGTTTGTCTGTATTTTTCTAGTTTGTTTATGAGGCATGTGAGACAGTATCAAAAGCCCCACTAAAGTTGAGCTATATCACATCTACTTCTTCCCCCAATCCGCAAGGCTTGTTACCCTGTCAAAGAAGTATATTAGGTTGGTTTGACATGATTTGTTTTGTTTTAATGTAAAGGAAGATAACAGTTAGAGCCCTGAAGAATTTCCAGAGAGCAGAGGGAAAGTGTTAAGTGTGCTCTTAAAAATAGGAAAAGGCAGTTACAGCTTCCACATATTGTGTCATCCTATTGTGGTTAGGTATTGCGGGGGACCCATTTGATGTACCTGCGTGTTTTGTTTTTGCATTCCATATTGCGTTCAATACTTACACCTAGCTATTGGGAAGAAACATTCCTGATTGTTTTGCTTCATTTAGACCCATATTACTTCTAACTTCATGCTGTGTATTTAGCTATAACTTATATAATTAGCATTAAAAATCCAAAAAGCCATCCTATTGACATCTTAGTGGCACTTGCAGTAGCATTGTAGTGGCTTCCATTCATTGTAAATTGGCCAGAACAATGTCAATGAAAGCGTGAGATGCTCTTTTTGGAGATAGAGAAGGATCTGAAAACTTTCCATTGACACTGGATTAGGTCCATTAATCTTTCATACCAGATACAATGTCAGCACAAATATTAGTCCTTCTATTGACCCATAGTACTCTGTGGAGGTGTGTGCAACACTTACAGATTGTCAGCTGTTCATCAGTGAATAAGCTGTAGTGTCAGCATTAATGTATTTTTATCAAAGATATGTATGACCGAAATATAGTGTATTGTAGCCCGGCTACACTGAGATATATAAATATCTAAATCCCTTGAGGGATGATGATAATGTTTTACACCACCTTATTATGTAGATGGAAGTTAATTCCATTTCATTCTCTACAGTCCATTTTTAAATAATGATGCACAAGTCTAAGACTGTTTTCCAAAAATTTACACCAAACACAATTGCCTGAACTTTTAGAAATTATAAATTGATTAAATTGTAATCTGTACAAAACAGAAACTGTCTTCCTTGTACAATATCTAACAAGATGGGGTCCTGAATCTGATTAGGGCCCTCGGATGCTATCTTAATATAGATAATAACTGAGAACTGCTCAACACCAGGTTAGAGATATAAAATGTAAGTTAGTTGTGCTGCATATATTTCTCTTGCTCCTTGGAGCATTCAGCATATAATACTGATTAATGGCGGCATTGTTAGTGCTGATGTAATTTTTTTTAAAAGTCCTACCTCTTGGGTTTGTTTTGTTTTTTGTAGAAACTTGTTAGTTTGCTTTCCAAATGCATTAAGGCCACTTTGTAAGAGCAATGCCACAAGAGGGTGTGTCGTTATGTGGAAGAAATGTACTCTTTGCATGGCTGAACATACAGGAATATTGTTTTGTGATAAAACAACTTCGTTTAAAAAAAAGGAAATCTGGATATTTACAGATTCACCAAGCAGTGTACACCAATATCAGAGATTTATGTGATTACTTGTAGTTGGCTATGCTTATAATTCTCATTCAGGGATCACCTTTGCAAACATTATCTCAAAAAACCCTATGAGGTAAGTAAGTATTCTGACTTTAGAGCCTTGAACTGAGGCAAATATAGGTTGTGACCTGTCCACTGTCACACTTTTGACAGAATGGGAGAGCTAGGAATAGAACCTAGCAGTTCTCAGTCTGATCTTACCACCAGCCTGCACTTCCTCCCATAAAGTGTTAGTGTTTTTTATCAGGGAAAACATTATGATGTTCTGGCACTTATAATGATATGGTAATGGATCTTCTTAAATTGTTTATTTTTTATCTTGTAGGTACCATAAATTGATATGGGGACCTCATACAATGGCTTCAGATGGTAGTCTTTCTGGAGTTCTAATTGCAGGTGGTGAAAATGGAAATATTATTCTGTATGATCCATCTAAAATTATGGCTGGAGAGAGTGAAGTTATAATTGCACAGAAAGACAAGCACACTGGGCCAGTAAGAGCTTTGGACGTGAATATTTTCCAGGTTAGATTTTTTTTCTTCAGTATACACTGTCATGGATTAGTAAAATGCTATAGGAAATGTTCTTCTCTTGTGATTTTGGGGGGAAAGTTGTATAAATATTTTTGCATATTTTAAAAAAGAAAACAATCTTTGATACTAATCATTATTTGACCTGAAATAATTTTTAAAATCTGATCTGCTTTTCACCATTTAGGGTATTTACTTTGTGTATTTTTCTGTTTAGACATTGAAATAAAATTGTTTTTCATTTTGTTTCTAGTCAGTTTCACTTTTCAGTTCTCATGCACTACTCAGTGTTATCATGGTTGCAGACAGATGTTGAAATTCCTCCCAAAAACTTTTCACTGAAATTTAAAAAATAACAACTAAATATTAGTTTTTAGGTTTTGTAGCTCTTCCATTTTTGTATGTTGTTCCAAAATAAATGTTGAGGCCTAATGAAATGTTGGGGCCTAAAACTCATTGGCTTGACACAATTCTTAAAAGTAGTAATGACTTAATCACAGAGCTAATTTAATTCCATCACTAATGAGGATTTACCTCTCAAGATATAGCATCTTTTCTCATTCATGACTGTTCTGTGAGATCTCAGTTTGTTTTGATTTACTAAGTAGCATTTTTTCTTTGACACATGTTTTTACTAAGGCAGTAATTAGTTCAGTGACCTGTGTTTAAATTGCATGGTTTCTGTCCTTGTTTATTATGAAGTTGGAATCTGTTTTGCAACCAGCATTAGGGTATGAGCAAAATGCATTGCTATAATAGTTATTTTCCCTCTAGTTCATTCTCCTCAGATCCCATTGCTATTATCTTGGCATTCCTCTTCCACCTGTAAAACTGCTTCAAATGCTTCTCTTAATCTAGGAAATGTTTTTATAGGCCTTGATCTTGTGAATGCTTACTCATGTGTTTAACTTTACTCACATTTGAGATCCCATTGAAGTCAGTGGGATTAGTAACACAAATAGAGGTAAACACAAACTTAATTGTTTACAGGTTTGGGGCATTAGTACAATGGAGTCATTTTGTGCAACCCCATTCTTTGTGTCCATTTTCTGCATATGAATACTGCAGAAACCAATAACACTGCCTTGGGAATTTAGGTCCAACTTGCTGCAGAGTATATGGGGTCTTGGCTAATAAATAGTATTAGAAATATTAAGGAATCTTGTACCTCCTCTGAAGTGCTCTTGTTGTGACAAGGGCTACGTTCTGAGCTAATGTCAATTGGCACAGCTCCATGGATTGGGCCCACACCGTTTGGGAAGGTGAAGGCTGATGCCAGAAATACTCTCAATGTCTATTGGCATCTTTCTATTACAGACAAACCTTGTAGCATCAGGTGCTAATGAGTCTGAAATCTATATCTGGGACTTGAACAACTTTGCCACACCAATGACACCAGGAGCTAAGACCCAGGTACTGGAGTTATGTTTGTCAAATGATTTGAAGAACTCTGAAAAATATGCAGATTATTTAATTTACTTGAAATCTCATACAGACATACAGTATTGAAGCAGTTCTAAGCACCAATCTCTGTTTTCAAAAACTTAATTTAAATATTGCAAATATTACCTTGAATGTAGTTAAGTCCTAGATAAACATCTGTTGTTGTGAGATACATTCCTTAAAATAATTATGTAGATTTCTATTCAGGATAAGAATCATACAAGTATGTTGTTACATTATGTATATTGTATATATTTTGCTCCCAAACAATAAAATAACCCCCTGTGGATGTTTGTTTTTCTGATTGTAAATGTATTGACTGTTACGGCTAAAAGTGGAGATTTCTCTGTTTTGTTTTGAATGTGATCCATTAATAGCTTCGACCTTTATAAAACAATACAGACAGGTTGTAATGAACACCACCTTTGTGAAAATTGACTCTGAATTTACTGGAGACTTAAATTGCATTCCAAGTAACCAACAATGACTCTATTTATAATGATGTTAATTGTTACTGTAGTGCAGTTTGTGTCCAGTTCTGAATTCTTTTGCACACCCAAACTTCCCAGTAAAGTTAGAACACTTAACTCTTGTGTCGTGTGTCAGCAAAATGACTTATCAGTTGTTACACTTTCAAGTCAGAGTGAGCAAAATCCCATTGTTGTGCATTCCTTGTACTGTATTTTGTTTGGTTCCTATGTGAGATTTTTCTACCATAATAGTACCAGAGACCTCTCCCAAACAGATCAAAGGGTTGAAGTTAGAGGCAGTTTTAACAAGAAAAGGCATGAAAGTTTGAGTTAGCTGTGGAATCAGCCAGTAATGACTCATCTTTTCATGGGGTAAGATTTTGCAGCAAGTTAAATCTGATGAGTCATTTTTGACCTGTCCCTAACTTTCATGGACGGAGTTGCATGTCAGTTCACCAATGGTTGTTAGAAAGCCAAGTCTTTCTAGTTTCCGTGTGCTTTAAACATCCTTCACAACTCTATGGAGGCTGTGTTTTTTGTAGCCTATTTTGGCATGTTCTACTGTGTGTTTAAGTCTGAAGGATCTTTATGCTGCCGTGAAAGATGCAGATTAAAAAATAAGGTGTTAAACCTGGCTATTAATAGGTGGTAGATGGTTAGGCGATAGGTGTGACAGTTGTAGATATTCATATGGAATGTATCATCTTAATATCTAAACAGCACTGGTTAGCCTGTGTTTTGTTTAAAGAAGACCTGGAGAATAGAAGAAAATGTTAGTCTTCTGTCCTTTTTTTCCCTTCTTTGTGCTGTGTAAAGAAGGCCTGAAAGATGTTTGTGGTATTGTGTATTTTAAAGTTTATTTTTCTCTGTGTGAGTTTACATAGTTGTTAGTAGAAAAGAAGGTTGTATTTACCATGAAAAACTTTATGGTGCCTGGAGAACTAGTTATTGAGAGAATGAAAGTTGAGTCGTTGAGTAGCAATCTGTAGTCAGGCTGTTTTAAAACGCTTTGATTTTAACTTGTTTTTTGTTATCAAATTAGTCCAATGACTAATGAACATTTGGGAGACAGGTTAAAGATCCATGCCCTTTGAGTTAAGGTGTGAGAGCTTGTAATGCACATGCTCTGAGACACCCAAGAAATTTCTAACATAATCAGGGAAGGCCAGACTTAATCATAGAATATCAGGGTTGGAAGGGACCTCAGGAGGTCATCTAGTCCAGCCCCCTGCTCAAAGCAGGACCAATCCCCAACTAAATCATCCCTCAAAGCAGGACCAATCCCCAGACAGATTTTTGCCCCAGATCCCTAAATGGCCCCCTCAAGGACTGAACTCACAACCCTGGGTTTAGCAGGCCAATGCTCAAACCACTGAGCTATCCCTCCCCCTAATAAGGTAAAAAAAAGTAAGCAGAAAAAAACTTTAACACTTGCCCCTCCAAACAAAAAACAAAACATACTGCCTGTCATTTTTCTATACATCACAAAAGACCAATGAAGGGCACAAGTCCAATTTTTAAATACTTTTTTGCGGGTCACTATTAAGTTCTGGGAGACAACAAACTTGCTCCGTCTTCCTCCATAGCTGGCAAATTTATCACAGGCAGAAAGGAAGGAGGGGTGCAGATAGCCAGCGTATATTTAAATGCATGGGTTTTAAAATTTCCTAGTGTCAATATTTGTTCAGGAAGGTAAAATGAACACATGGGCTATGAGGATTAGCTTTGAAAACTTGTTGTTTTAGCCAACTTATCTAATCAAAAAAATGGAGCTCTCTGTTGGCAAAAAGAGACTGTTGGGATGTGTTTTGTTTGCAATAGCCTCCAGAAGACATCAGCTGCATTGCATGGAACAGGCAAGTCCAGCACATCTTGGCCTCTGCCAGTCCTAGTGGTCGTGCTACTGTGTGGGATCTGAGGAAGAATGAGCCTATCATCAAAGTCAGCGACCACAGCAACCGGGTAATTTATTATGTTAAACTATCTGTATTAATAATCATGAATGATTAACTATTAGACTTATTCTTGACAAGTGACTGCACGGATTCTCATTAGACTCTTAAGTGACACAGGAACATGTCCCCATTTTATACTACCTGCTGTAAGATCTGTTAATTTTTAAAGGGCTATAATTGTATGCCAAAAGTGGATTATTATTTTAAATAATTAATTTTTGCAAATGATTAAATTAGTATTTGGCCGGGAAGGAATTTGGTAGGGAGTTTAGGGTTCAGGCAAGAGAAGGGGACATTATGTATTACTCAGCAGTGAGAAGTCAGACTGGTTAAATGATGCGCACTATGCTGATAAATTCAGTATTGACCCATTCATGGCTGCAGTGGGAAGATTTAATTAAAATAGGCTGAAGTGGGAATAAACAGGGCCACGCTCCAGCCAGCATTCTCCATGCTTCTGTTTTGGAGGGTTCCTTTTTTTTATAGCTCTGCTTAATTATCTTGTGGTCTAACACTACTTTATCTATCAGATGCACTGTTCAGACTTGGCTTGGCACCCTGATGTGGCTACACAGATGGTCCTGGCTTCCGAAGATGACAGGTTGCCTGTAATTCAGATGTGGGATCTTAGGTTTGCGTCTTCTCCTCTTCGTGTTTTGGAAAACCATACAAGGTATTTATGTCGGCTAGTCTGTAGATCTTGAGTTTTGTTTGTTGTTTAGCCATTTTCCCCATTCTAATCTTGGTTTGTACACAACTCTCTATCAGTTGGTATTAATGCCATCCCAATTTTAAACTCCAAGGCAGATGCTTTAGCAGCTACTGTTATCCTTAATCTAGACTTTTAGTGATACAGCTAGCCTTTGTGCTCAGCAAACCTGTGCCAATGGGCCACACTGGTTTTAAGGGGTAGAACTGTGAAGCAGGAGCCCAGCTTTAATTTTAAAAAGTACATTTCTAGCTGTTTCCTTTGAGAAGAAACATTTACGTTTTTGAGACTATGTAAAACGATTGCAAGGGTGCAAAAGATGCAGCAGCCGGGCTCCACTTCTGCAGGAGGGGTTGGGGAATCTAAAGATCCCACACCCATATAAACAGCCATACCCGCTTTCTAATCCAAAATAAGTTGCTTAAATTTGGGGTGTAGTCTAATGAATCCTTTCACTAACTTCCCTAAACCTTTGGCTGATCTGGTGTACAGCGGTGTGAAAATGGTGGACAGGAGTTTACTGCATTCAAGGATGGAGGGCAGCAAAAAACTGTGTTGCAAGCACTCCCTGAAAATGCTGATGTTGACTGTACTAATGTTAACCCTTTAGTAATAAAAAGAAGATTGCTACAAGTATTAGTCACAGCTACAAGTATTAGTCACAGTTCTTATCCTGCAATGTTCCAAGTCCGGCATTAGTGTGACATTTTATTACACAATCTACTTTTGATATCCATGTTTTGTATCAATGGTTATAGTCTTTGGCTTTCAGGTACCTTTCTGGATTGTGCCCTTAGCCTGTGGCTACACTGTCATGCCAGCCGTGCAGAAAGTGGAAAAAATCTATTTCAATAAAACAAATGTTGGCAGCACCTTCTCTACTCTCTCAACATAATGGGGGTGGCGGGGGACTTGGCATTTAAAGATGAAGTGGCCAGGTAATCTAGATGTGTGCTAATGAGGGTGCCTCATTAATCATCATGCATTTATATTAATATTTTCTTACTATGGCTTTTCACACAGGGGTATTTTGACCATTGCTTGGAGTATGGCAGATTCTGAGCTGTTACTCAGCTGTGGAAAGGATGCTAAGATTCTCTGCTCTAACCCTAATACAGGGGAGGTATTGTATGCAAACCATTTTTAAAGGTCATAAACAGAGAAACATTCTTTGCATTACATTTGTTGTGGAGAACATACTGACTTTGTACATAGATGACACAGTGTTGTGAGAAAACATTTTTTTAAACTAGTTAATATTTGTTTTAGACTGTGCCCTTCATACCAAAACTGTGTTCTCTGACCCCAAACATTTTGTACACACAACCCAACTGAGAAAAAATGGAAAAGTCTTATACAAAGGTGACCTCTTTAAGACCTGGAAGTGTTAGCTGCTACTGTCAGCCATATATATTATTATAAACCAGAACAGGACAAGACTTGTCCCCTGCTCGCTCTTATGGTTCACTGAAGGGACACTGTCATTTCAGTTTTATCCATTTCATCTGCCTCTGCTAAAAGTAGCTTTGTGAAGTGCACCTGTCTATGGGCTCTTGTTTTTTTTTGTCCAGGATTTCCTTGTGGTGTGTTTTTTGACACACCTGGTGTTCTTTGCAATCCAAAGAAACCATGAGCCAAAAATCTGGGGTCTGGTGATACATATGAGCGGGGTGAAAGTAAAATAAAATACTTACCTGTACAGGGACCCGGCTCCCAAGCCCCCCAACAAGGGGCAGGGCCTCAGGCAGAAGGGGCGGGGCTGGGGGTCAGCCTCCCCCAGTCAGCCCTTCCTTGCTGCCCAGCGCCACTCGGGGCTCCGGCAGCAATTTAAAGGGCCCGGGGCACTGGCCGCTGCTGCGGTAGCAGCGGCGGTGGCCAGGAATCCTGGGCCCTTTTAAATTGCCGGGCCACAGGGCAGCTGCACCTTTTGTCCCCCACCATTGGCAGCCCTGGGGGGGGGCACAAAAGGGGCAGCGACGGTAACATCAGCCTTGTACGAGCCGGGACCGGCAGCCGCTTCTTACGTCATATGGTACGCCAACCAGCCTACTTTCAGCCCTCCATATGAGATCCCTGAACCCTTTTCCTTGCACATGTGAAAGCCTTTGTAGACCACACACCTGCTCTCTACCTCCTTTGGCCCCCATGGAGTGGGGTATTTGAAAGGACCTGCTTTCTTTGCTCCTACTCGAAGGAAGGAGTTTTTGAAGGTGTTGAGGCTTCCTGGCCATGGGTTTTTGACATGATTGCATCCATTCAAAGCTACGCATGAGAACTCTGATTTGGGGGAGAAATCAAATTAGTATTGATTATGTCATTTCTTACTCCACCATTTAAATGGCAGTACCCTACTCTAATACAGATGTTTTTGTACCTACATCCTTATGGCTCTGATTTGGCAAAGCACTTAAGCACATGCTTAATGTTAAGCAGGTGCGTGGTCCCACTGAAGTTAAGCATGTTTCAGCTTTGTTGGATGGGAATTTATGTGCTCCCCCCCCCCTTTTTTTTTTTAAAGCTATAAGGTATTTTCAGCCAGACACTATTTTGTATTTGCTGTAGAAGTGGTAAGAATTAATGTCTGATTGTGTTAATGGAAAATTAATAGAAGCTTTAATAATTACATTCCTTGCAGGTTTTTAACTGAACAACTTTTTAAAACGGTGTGGATTCTTTATTCAATAGACTTGAGTCTTTGATTAAAATCTATGGGAAGAAAACAGGTAGTTTTTCACCCAACAGAGGGCTCCCATAGTTACTATATAATACAAGAGAAACTCATTGAGTCATGGAAACATAGTTTTAAAATATGAATACATTTTCTTTGGCTATTTGAAATGTGCCCTAACACCTTCCTATGGATGTTCCCATAATGCAAAAAGACCCCAAACTGTGCACAGAACATTGGTGAAAGTCAGCATAAGTAAACAGGTTTCTCCCAAGGTTAAGCTATACCTCATTCTTCCAATCATGCCCTCGTTCCAAAGCAATCAGCCTTATGCTGTGCCCTGGTCAGCAGCAGACGATGGCTCTGTTGAATCAAAGTGGGAAGCCAATGGTTCTCAGCTGAGAAAAATAGCATAATTTTCAATGGGATTTAGGCTCCTAAATCCCTTAGATTTTGAAAAATTTACCCTAAGTGACTAGCCTAGGGTTGTGCAGGATGTCTGTGGCAGAGGTGGGCACAGAAGCCAGATCTCCCGAGTCGCATTCCAGCACCTTAACCACAAAGCCATCATTCTTCTCTTGAAAGCCTTTAGCCACAGTTTTTAGCCCCTTCTTTCTCTCGTCCCATGGAGATGATTTTAAAGCAGGAGACCATAATCCTGTTTCAGCGTGTGGTTGCCCATCCTACTGACACAGGATCTTTAGTGACACATTAGTGTCTACAGTGTCGTTTATGATGTTAATACTGTTTCATCAAACTCTGTTTTGGCACAGGTGTTGTATGAGCTTCCCACAAATACCCAATGGTGCTTTGACGTTCAGTGGTGTCCCAGAAACCCTGCTATCCTTTCAGCTGCTTCTTTTGATGGACGGATCAGCATTTACTCCATCATGGGAGGGAGCACAGATGGTTTGAGGCAGAAACAGGTAGACAAGGTATTGAAAAATGTGAAGAGGAGAATGTGAAGTTGGAGAAGAAAATAGTTTGCTCCGTGTGACAATATTTGAAAATGGCGGAAGCATTGACTGCCAAAGTAGTGCACTAGACTGTTGAATAATTATCATGTACAAATATGTATTTTACGTTGAATACTGCAGGAAATGTGCAATCAGTTTCTTTCTCTTTAAAGCTTTCATCCTCCTTTGGGAATCTTGATCCATTTGGCACGGGGCAGCCCCTCCCTCCGTTGCAGCTTCCACAGCAGACAACTCCTCAGAGCACTGTTCTACCATTAAAGAAGCCACCCAAATGGGTCCGACGGCCTGTGGGTGCATCATTTTCAGTAAGTGAGAGCCCCTTTGTAGGCTACCGAGTGGGCAAAATTGACTTTGCTGTAACATTTCTGATATATTCTCTGCAAGCAATGTAGAAAGGGTGCTATATTGCATTACAACAGAGCTTCACTCATTTGCAATAATGACTGGAAAGTCCACTGTGGAGTACTTTAGTTTTCAATTACGAACTACACTGCATAATAAATACACTCTATGTTTGGTAACAGCTTTGAAGTGTGTGAGACCTCTCTGCTGTTAAGTCTTTGCTGAGAAGCAGGGTGAGAGTGCCAAGTTTTGTTGGTGTGTGTGTGTATATCTATATATAGGATTATCAAAGTCACAGATTAGCCAAGTGAGATTTAGCAAAGTTCCACTGTACTTTGAGAGCAGAGCCATCTGTTCTATAACTTCATTGTTCACTTACTTCTAAGTTACAGGTTTTTTAACTGAGAACTAGAATATACTAGGATTTTGTTCTCTCAGTGTTGAACCCTGACTCAGAATAGATATCTGTGCCAAAGTACTGATCTAGTCTCAGCATAGTGTTATCTAATTCATAGGTTAACGTGAAATTTGACATCTCCATTAGGGTATAATTCATGTTGTTTTGGAAACAATTCATATATCCTTCTAACTGTATTTTGGGATGTTGATTCCCATTAGCTCATCCTAGTTCTCCATTAGCTAACTGAGAAATTTGGATGTGTGTGGGTTTTTTGCTTTATACTATTTACTCATTTAAAGCCAAATCAGTTACCTTTTTTTCTTCTTCTTCTTCTTCTTTCCCTATTATCCCAGTCTTGGTTCTTTCTCTGCCACTTTTATTTCTGTCTATCTAATCTGCCAGTTGTGTGCTGTCTAAGGTAGTGTTGCACATTTTTAGGTATATTTTCAGGTAGCACTTATCATGCCATATGTGTATATGTAATTTTATTATTTAACAATTCTATCGTAGCAGCACCAGAAGCCCCAATCAAGATTAGAGCCCTATTGTGTTAGATGTGCAAATACACTGTCCCTGTTCCTAAGAGCTTTCAGTCTGAGGCTGTGATCCTACAAACATTTATGCAAATGAGTTATTTTACTACTCTGAGTAGTCTCAATGAGTTCAATGGGGCTACTCACATGTGTAAGTGTTTGCAGGATTGGGGCAACAAATCAAGAGAGAAAATGTGTGTGTAAGTAATATATAAATGTGTGTATAAATGGGTGTGTATTGTATCAATATGTTGTAATATTTGGTACATTATTTATTAAATTACAGTTTGGAGGGAAGCTTGTTACATTTGAGAATATAAAGTCTCATCAACAAGGACCCGAGCAGCAGCAGCACCACCACGTGTATGTGAGTCAAGTTGTCACGGAGAAAGAGTTTCTGAACCGCTCGGATCAGCTGCAAGAAGCTGTGCAATCCGAAGGCTTCATCAACTACTGTCAGAAAAAAATAGAAGCTGCCCAGACTGATTTTGAGAAAAATGTGTGGTCTTTCTTAAAGGTAATGTTTTTCAGATGTTTCTGAATTATTAAAGGATTCCCCAGCCTCTTAAAACCAATACTAAAAGTGGTTCTCAGTACATGGTAAAACATTTTAAACAGAAAATGCTGTGTAAAGCTAATGAGGCAATTTCTAGTTTGTACAGTAGAATGAGATTAGATTCTGAAAATGGTATCAAATAATCCATATACTTGATCAAAAGAGATTACTGGTGGCAGGACAAGAAATCTTTGAAATAGGTACGCTTTAGTGTCTGCTCTTAAAAGATGTTCTAGCAGAAGCAAAGAGCTACAGATTCTGGGGAAGGTTTGACATAATTTAACCATTAGCCTAGTAGTGGTACATCTTTATACTCGGTCAGATAATGAGAGATTTCATTTGGTAAGGTAAAATATGCTTTCTGTTATTAGTTATGACGTTTTGTGTTTTCAGAATAAGAACCAAATGGAAATTGAAGAGGTCCAGTTACTAGACATAGCTATACTCAGAGGCCCAGATCCTCAGGCTTGGTCTACACTAAACCCCCAAATCGAACTAAGGTACGCAACTTCAGCTACGTGAATAACGTAGCTGAAGTTG